CACCGAGATGGAGAGACTTTCAGGAATGCAGGCACTGGCTAGGAAACCGCTGGAGGAACTTGGTTGGCACAAGAGAGACGATGGAGAGAATGAGAGAGAAGAGATCGAACAGGAGCCCATAAAATGGCTCACAACCAAATTCGTGTTCGATTGGCGGTTCAGGTCAGGGTCTTGGAAAAGACGGGCTAGGCTAGTGGCTCGTGAATTTAAAGGAACTGAACACAGAAGCGATGTGTTCTCACCAGCCACGTCAGCAAGCCTCACAAGGTTAGTCCCCGTGATTGCTCTTCAGGAAGAGTTTTCAGTCTACAGCATTGACGTCAAAGATGCGTTTTTGCAAGTACCCCAAAGGACTAGAACGGCGTGTGAATTCCCGAAGGAATATGTGGAGCTGTTTCAGGACACTGATCCCTCTTGTCTTCAGGAAGGACTACTCTTGCTCCGAGTGTTGCCAGGACAGAGAGACGCAGCTTTGCTTTGGTCGGATCATTTTAGTGATTCGCTTAAGGAACAAGACTTTGAGAGAAGTGTAGCTTGTCCAACTCTGTTTCGAGACTCAAGGAAAAGCATTCTTGTGGTTCATGTTGATGACATTCAAGCAGCAGGAAAGAGTCATCATGTCGACCCTGTACTAAAGAACTTAGGACGAGTGTACGAGCTGAAGATTGAAGGACCGTTTCTTACTGCGCAGGAACTTGCTATTGGCGAGTCGCTTCAGACGGTGAGATTTCTCAAAAGGAAGTACTCGTATCACAATCATGAACTTCACATTCACAGTGACCCAAAGTATCTTGGAAAACTTCGTGAAGAACTCAAGTTGACAGGAAAGGCATCAAAGCCGACGCCGTGCACACAGGAGAGCCAGGCAGTAGACAACACAAACCCTCTTGACCAGGAACAAGCAGCTTCGTTTAGGAAGTGTGTAGGAATCCTCCTATATGTTTGTCAGGACAGGCCGGATCTGCAGTTCGCAGTAAGAGGTTTAGCGTCCAAGATGTCATTGCCAACATTTGCAGCTAAGAAGCAGTTGATTCATGTTGTGCAGTACATGACAAAGACAGATGGTTACCATTGCACGTATAGGAAAACACCTCGAGGAATGTCAAACCTCAACGAGAGCATTCGCAACGGAACCTATGACTTTTCCCAAGTCAAACCCAAGGAACATCACTTGTTGGAGGTATACTCCGATTCAGATTGGGCAGGACAGAAAGACAGTCGTCGCAGCACAAGTTCAGGAACTGTGTTTCTGGATTCTCAACTGATCTATGCATTCTCTAGGACCCAAAGGAGTATTTCTCTGTCTTCTGGAGAGGCAGAATATTACGCCGCAGCTAGTTCAGCTAGTGACTCTTTGTTGCTCAAGGAAGCGATAGAATTCCTCACCTGTAGGAAGTGCGTAGTGCATTTGCATCTAGATTCTTCCGCTGCTCGTGGTATCATTACCAGGCAGGGAGTAGGAAGAGTGAAACATTTGCAGATTAGGACCCTCTTTCTCCAGGACCTCCACAAACAAGGAATTCTTAGTGTCCACCCGGTAGGTACCAGGGATAACACTGCTGATATAGGAACTAAGCCGCTTTCAGGAAAACGCATTAAGTTGTTGATGCATTGGCTAGGCTTCAAGGACGAACAAAACCAACCAGTAGGAATTGAAGAGCTTCAAGAACATCGACAGCAGGAACAAGCTAAGGCCACAGTCAAGAGAATCAAGTCCAAAGGAAACTTCGCATTTGCAGCTTTGTTGTTCTCTTTGCTTTCAGGAAGTTTGGAAGGTTGCTCAAAGGTTGAAGTAGCTTCAGGAACATGTCTTTTGCAGTCGTGCAGTACATGTGTAGGAACTGTGCAGGAACATGTCGGCATGTGCAGTGACACGAGTGCATGTGCATTAGGATTGCAGGAACAGCTTGAAGTAGGAAACATTTGCAGCTCGATGCCTCGAGTGAAGGACCTCTGTTTTAGGAACCTTGAAAAGGAAGAGACAGTAGCTGTAGAGAAGGAAGTAGCAGCTATGGAACCGAGTGCCTCCGAGAAGGAACGCTGGTTCAGAGAGCTCACCTCTCAGTTGAACCAGTTGAAAGAAGCCCAAGGAACCACGAACGTGTTGCTCAGAGAACAGCGTCGCGAACAGGCAAGCCTCAAGGAACAGATTGAGGACCAACACCTGCGAGATGTGGAGTTGCTCAGGCACTTGAAGGAAAGGATAGAAGCTTTGGAGACCAAGATCGCCGAGTACGAGAAGGAAGAAGAAGAGATCAAAGGAATGATTTGGTGGAAGCTTCAAGAAGAAGAAAGAGGAGCAGAGATGGAAAGAGAGCTACGAAGAACAGGACATGGTCGAGGAGAAGAAGGAAGTAAAGAAGAAGAAGAAGGATCGAGTTCTACCACACCAAGATCTTCGTCGGCGTCTACTACATCAACGCAGGAGGAAAAGAGGAAGGAAAAGGAGAGGAAAGAGAAGATCAGGAAAGTGAATGAGGAGCTGAGGAAAAGAGAAGAAGAGGAGAAGGAAAAGGAAAGAGGTTTTGCGTACCCCTACGACGACACCGAGTACAAGATCTACGTGGAGAATGGCAAGGTGTACAAGCAGCACAGGATCACGGGCGAGAAGGTCGAAGTTGGCGTCGACTACGTCTACAAGTACCAGAAAGGAAAGGAAGGAAAAGGAAAAGGGCCAGGAAAAGGAAGCACCAAGAACACAGCCACAGGAGCGAGCAGCAGCTCTGACAAGCAGGCAAGCGCAGCAGCCGCTGAAGCAGCAGGAGTTACACCACAGGAAGAAGGAGCCACACAGGAAGCAGAGAAGCAGGCAGAGAAGGATGAGAAGAAGTGGCAGAAGGAACGCGAAAGGCGAGAAAGAATCAGGAAGAGGAAAGCCGAGGAGAAAGCCAGGAAGGAGAAGGAAGAAGCAGAAGAGGAAAGGAAAAGACAGGAAGCCACAGCAGAAGAGGAAAGGAAGAAGCAGGAAGCAGCAGCAGAAGAAGGAAGGAAGAAGCAGGAAGCAGCAGCAGCAGAGGAGAGAAAGAAGCAGGAAGCCGCAGCAGAAGAAGAAAGGAAGAAGCAGGAAGCCGCAGCAGAAGAGGAAAGGAAGAAAAGGCAGGCAGCAGCAGCAGCAGAGGAAAAGGACAGGAAGAGACGAGAGGCAGCAGCAGCGGCAGAAGCAGAAAGGAAGAGACGAGAGGTAGCAGCAGCAGAAGCAGAGAGGAAGAAGCAAGAGGCAGCAACAAGAGAAGGAAAAGAAGATGAAAATGAAAGTTTGAGGATTGAGATGGCCCAGCTTCGTGAGTTGGTCAGAGGAATGAAGGAACAGCAAGCCTCAGACAAAAGGAAGATCGTCTCGCTTCAGGAAGAGCTCAAGAAGGCCACAGACAGTGAAGGAAGCACAGGAGAAGGAAAGAAGAAGGACAAGGCGATTGGCCCACAGGATCGAAGCCAATTCAGAGTTGGAGGAAGTGAAGGAGCTCAGGAACTGTATGCGATCTTTCCTTACGAAGGATCAGATTTCCAGTGGAAATGGGTGCAGGCCACAAAGGCATGGCTCTACTACGACGTGAACCAGAACTTGTGGATCAAGGACAGCGAAGATGAAGATGGAGGAAGGATCTGCAAGGAACAGGAGAAGCAAGTGAAAGGATGAATGAAGGAAAAGAAGCGAAGGAGAAGAGAAGCAAGGAAAAGCAGAGGAAGGATCAGCAGCGCTCAGTCGAGCAGTGAGGAGTGAGTTTCAAGATGAGAAGGAAGCCAGAACAAAGGATGGAGTATCCGTTCTACTGGCAACTTTCAGGAACTTTGTTTTCGCTTTTGTTGACTAAAGGAAAATGATCCGAGTAATCAACTTAGCCCACGACAGTCGAAGCTAGCTTAGTCTAGGAACGACTTTCACCAGCTTCGAAGGCGGGGTGTTAAACATCTACGCAGTACAGGAAGCTGTGCACCAGGTGCATGTGGAATGCACACCAGAGCCTCGGAACGTCTTGTCGACGACAGGCTCGAACAAGGACACACACCGCAGCGAACCCAGGAAAAGTGCGGAGTGTCCCAGCTTTTCAGTTAGCTTTAGATTGACCCTATCTTTGACAGCTTTGGTCGCGTCGCCTTTTCTTTGGCTGCGACCTTGGTTTGTTGCCCGTCTGAGCTGATGCCATCTGTGCAGAGGAGACCCTTCAAGTGATCTAAGTGTCACAGGATAGCTTTGGGCACCGACTGCTAAGTGCTGGCGGCCTAAAATTTGTGGTGCCTAAGTCTGAGGTGACTTGGACGGCCTCATGCCGTGACAACATGTTTCTCCACATGTAGCATGCTGTGTCCTTACCCGCCTTTACCCGCCAGCCGTGGAGGCTGGATTTACGTCAAGGCTGGGAGGGGTCAGGACCGAACACAGGGAAGGAACACATAGAGTCACGAAATGTCCCGAATTATGTGCGGCTGGGTCTGTACATGCACATCCTGTCAGGGGCCCGGCTTCGGAGCCAGCAGCTGCAAGGTTACCGACGAGTACTTGCTGGCCTAGGCTGATCTTGCGAATTCTTGCGATGGTTTGGGGCTGTTTGGGGGTTATTTGAGGGTGATGCCTGCTCGCGTTACTCTAAGGTCTCCGGCCCCTGGGTAGATGTCGGAAGGGGGGAGTTTGTAAACAGAGCAACGGACAGTTCTCTGCTGCACGGGCAGAATGGCAATGTTATCTGAGGACCAGGTCGGCAGCAAAAACGCCCCAAGCCCATGTCCTGAAGTCCGAGCGTGTAAGAATGCCAGCCTCACCAGGCCTCGGGATCCTTGACACCGGCTGATGTCTGATTGGACATGAAGGGAGTAGGGGGCTCCAGGATTTGGGTCTTTGGAACAAAAGTGCAGTGCACAAATGGTTTGGATGCAGATGGGAGCCACCCTACACCCTCCGTCTTTGCAGACGCGCCAGTAGGATCCACTAGCCAGGTTTTACACACTCGCTCGGTTCTGAAAGAATATGGAGCGCGCATGGTCTGACCTAATGTTCGGCGTGCATGGGGTTCCAAGTTCTTGGCCAACAGGCCGCCATGCTCACATTCCTCAGGTATGTCGACCACCAGCGCAACCTCCCACTCCAGGACCCGACTCTGCCATGCAGAGTAAACTTCGAGTAGACCGTGCAGCGAATTCGCCGTGCTTTGTAGCGGACTCTCTGATTCCGGATTGCCAGAAGTGCGTTTGTGTGGAAGTGACGCATGTTGCTGCGATGCGTTGTGCGGCTGAACGACTTCCCGGCCTTCATGTCGTGGGTAAAGTTGATAGATGTTGACAGAGTGGTGGGAACCTGACACCGTGTTCCGAACGAGATAGGCAGGGACTGTGGATTGCAGAGATCAGCGACCCGCAAGCTCTACGCAACTCACCAGCGCACGCAGCGAGCAGGAGATGTTCTGCGACATCTTCGACCCCGCAGAAAACAGCTGGACCACGCTCCCAGCTGCCGCCTACACAAACCTCGGCGTAGGTCGGGGCTTCTCGGCACATCTGACAGTTCTTCTGTCCGTTTTTTTTCTTTGTTATTCGATTGGTTTGTAACGCATCCTGTGTGATCCAAAGCTCCAGTGCAGCCCTTTTGGTTTCGCCAAGGAATTTTCGAGCGGGCGGCGTTTTTCGGCGCTGCAGCGGCCAGGACCCTACGAGAGAGACATTTGCAACGCTTACCTCGTCTTGACACTGTCTCGACCATCGGCTCGCACGCCTCTAGAAGGACAGAGAGCGGAGCAAGAGAGAGGGGCAGTAGCAACAAGAGGGACTGCTCACAATGCGCGTTAAAGCCTTCAAAGGCGACGGCTTCGAAACGCCACGAAACCCCCTGGGTCCTCCCAAACAGTCCATCCCCCCTTCCCCCAGCTCCCCCTAAAGTCCCCTCCCAAGCCCCCCCCCCCCAAAAGTGATTGAACCGATGCAGCTGCAAACCCTGGACCCGACCCTGGATCTTGGTCTTTGTTGTTTAGGTTGAGGGCCGTGTGGTGGCGCTGGTGGGAGGCGTCACAATTGACGCTCGCCACACTGGATGTTGTCTCTAGGGTTTGGGCTTCAGGTTCTGGGGTTGGGAGTGTCGGGATTTACGTCACCATGGAGGGACCAGAACAGGATCGTGGCCCCTGCTTTGTTTCATGATCCCCCTTTCATGTGGGTATTGCTCCCAATAGGGAACCTTTAATATACCCCAACATAGTATAATCCTTATTATAGGAACCCCCAAAAAGGGTACCCCTATTTTTTGGAAACCCCCATATGTCTCAAGAACCTGCGATCGAGGCCTACAACCCCAAGCTCCCTGAAGATGGCTGGCGTGCGGTGGAGGCGCCCACCAGCCACGTGAAGGCTGGGCCGGCACAGTGCTTCGGGGGTAAGGGTTTGTGGGTTCAGGGCTTTGGGGCTTTGGGGGCCTCCACCACCGAGCTCGTCTCTCCAGGTGGGTGCCTCTTCCTGCGCCTGCGCCTTCCAGGGCGAGTTGCTCCTGGGGTCGAATAGAGGGCTCGCTGATCCTAGCTTGAAAGTCAGTGGGCGCTGGCGAGATCGATAGTCGTGCATTTCTAGGATTGCAAAAGCCTGCGCACGATAGTTGCTGCCTTCGGGCTGAGGATCGTGGCCTCCGGGCGTCCACGCTGCTTCTCCAAGCGCGTAGCTGGGCTTTGGGTAGTGCTGGGAGGGTGCAATCCGCGGGAAAGGGGAATGTAGGGGGGACTTCCAACATGATTCAAATTCAGCTGCTCTTAAAGGCACCTCACGCACACACACTTCTAAAATTTCCCACCCAGTCGCTTAGTTGCCTCGACAAGGTTGCCGGCTTCCGATTTTCTGCTGATGCCTCACAGCCTCTCTGGCGGCCCCGGCTAACCACCGAATACGTTTGGGGGTGGGTTGTTTTGGTCGGGGCGGCTCGGGGCTTCGGATGTTTAAGGTAGCGAGATGTAGCGAGCAACAGGTAACATTGCAGGGCGCAAGGTAGGCTAACAGCTGGGGTCAAATGCTGCTGACATTGGGATACGCGCTTTAGGTGTCTCTCGGTATCCGGATGGACTGCTCAACATCGTATGAACTGATGGGGAGGAGTACATCGAAGGTTCATTGTGAAACGTGACTGTATGGTCAATACATTCTGCCGCCCGGTGCAAATATGCAGTACACGTGGCTGTAGCTCCGCACGTGCTCTCAATTCCAATCTTCACAGAATCGGGGCAGAATTTCATGGCCCATGGTGACCTTAGGTGGCACGGCACTTGGCGTCAGCTGCCGGCCGGGCAGGGAAGGGCAAGGAGAAAACATCTTTGCGCACATGAGTAACTTGCTGAAGTAGATGACTCAATAGGTCATGCTGCAGAAGCAGAGGCTGTTTACGTCATGTTGTAGACCCAAGGGTCTGTTCAGCAAATCGCCTCCCCTGCACTGCCGTGTTCAGAATCTGCACTGCGGTCGCGTTGGCGGGGCGATGGCCGCAGCTTGGTGCAGAATAACTTCTGCCGCATGCCATCAAACTGGGAAGTGCGAGTCATGTAGACTGACACACTTGTTGTACATGCCTTCGATGATTGTGGCAACGAACCTCCAAAGGCCTGCTTGTGGCCAGAGGTGGCTGTGGGCAGAACTAAGGTTGTCTACAACCGCTTGTACATCACTGGAGGTCAGACCCAAGATCGACACCCTACAAGCTCTTTTATGCCATGCGCAAAAAGGCAAAAAGGCACAAAGCTAAGCCCTTGTTGGCCACAGCCTAGAGGTGTCGACGAGGATACCGGCGAGTTCTACGACACAGCAGAGCGCCTGGCAGAAGAGTCCTGGGAATGTGCCGAGCTCGAATGATACATGATGCAGGTGCAACGCAAGGAGGTAGCAGCTGCCTTCCCGCGTGTTTCTGTAGTGTTTCTGTAGTGTTTCCGCTCTGCGGGCTCGGACACTGTCCTACACGGTCGCTGCGACCACAGCACCTTAAGCTACTTGTAGTTCAAGACGGTTTAAAAGTCAGCAGCAGCGAGTCCGCTCATCCGGAATCCGCAACCGAGAACGACCGTAATGCTTGCCTGAGCCTTCACAAGCATACCTTGGTTCCCGAGTTTTGATTTCACCTGCTCCTCGGATGCTGCCGAGGCGTGCCCTGGTTCCAGATGCCCCGCGCGCAGCTTGGACTTCGGTTGGAGGAGGAGCATTGCATGCATTGCTCTCCAAGGGACATCCGTGGGCAGAACCCAGGGTTGCAGTAGGGGACAGTGTTTGGGTTTACTCGTTGGCCGTGGAGTGGGTGTTCACAGAGTTGAGTCGACCCAAGGCTGCATGCGCACGAGGCGCACGCGATGCCGTACCTCCCTTCGAAAGCTTAGACTTTCGCCGTCGGCGAAGTGGATTTCAATTCCCCGACTCTGCACAAAGTGGCAGTGGAGAGCGCAAAAGAGCAGCATCAGGTTTACGAAGATTCCAAAGCACAAGTAGCTAGATGTTAGGGCCCCCCCCCAGACTGGTCTCTTTTCACTTGCATTGTTGGGTACTCTGCTGACTAGGACTTTGCGGACTGGACTTGAAGAGAGTGCCCCTGCACCCGTGAAACACCCCTGCACTTTCGTGTATCCGTGAACACGCGACGAATTGCTAGTTGTTGATGCACGGCCCGGCATTTCTTGACCTTTGTTCCGATCTCTGGAATGCCTTCCATTTGTGTAGTTAATAGTGTAATCTTTAGAATCTTGGGGTGCTGTGAGTGTGAACATTCATGAGCAGCGGCAGTGGCTCAAGCGGGTTCTCAACAGCAACATCACCCATTTCCGTTTCAGATTTCCAATTGTTTGGGCTCCCCATGACGCCTTCGTATGGTAGCAGGCAAGCCCTTCCTGGCTGTTGCCCTCCTGAGATGCCAGCGGTGGAAGATATGTTGACCATCGTGTTGGTTGCCTGGCTGTGTTTTGTTGCATGGGCGTTGAACCAGTGCTGCACTGCAATCACGGTTTTTTTGGCTTTGGGCTTCAACAGCCTGGTGCTGCACAACCCTTTCCAGCAGGCAGACAAACAGTAGCGAAATGTGGGCGCCTCAACAAAAAACCTTGGTACAGGTGCTGTCAGGGCGGGCAACGGTTCCGGTTCGCCAAGAAGGTCACGGCGAGTTCCCCAATTCAGAGGACAGGTTGGCGCCAGTCGGGCAACCGTCAAGAAGTACTGCAAGAAAGCCAGGACAGCAGGTGAACTACAGTGACAGCAGCCAGGACAGCAGGCGAGCAGCAGCAGCATAGCGCTGCACACAGGACAGCAGACGAAAAATAATTGGACTGTGAGGCCGACAAAGCTTGCCAGGAATGGCGCCGGCATGTGGCCTCAAAATAAGTAGGCAACGAGGCGCCTCAACAAGAATGCCAAGAAGGCATCATCGAACAATGTTCCGGAATGCGGCCGCACTGAGCAGAAGCCCGTCGGCATCTAAGCAGGAAAGGGGAAGACGAAGGGAAGTGTCAGGCCGGCAATTGAACCAAAACACATCTTGAGAAAGAACCAGCCAGGCTGTAGTGACTCGTGCTAAAACAGTCAGTTCTGCCAGAATGCGGCTTCAACAAAACAATAGACTTTTGGGATCCGCTTTGGTCCCAGTGTGTTGTCGTGCAGGCATTGAATGGCATTGCATGAGCATGAGCACACAAGACGTCAAGTTTAGAGCCTGACACCAAGATGGATCCACCGGGCAAATTCGAAGAATTTTTCGAACGACTGCCCAACGAGCATTTCTTGGCTTGGCTGGCTCCAACCCATATCGAGATGCAAAAAACAGCTTGACCCCGCTGCTGCTAGCGGTTGCGACCCCCGATCTTTTCCATCAGTAGTCCTTTCTGTGAAGCGTGCACCGACAAGCGCGCACTGCTGCCCCAAACAAGGCGTTGCTAACAACGTCGGGTGGGTCTCGCCGCCATCAGCAAGCCCCGTTGCCATGAAACTAGTGCCGAATCCAAAGCACTGTGAGGGGAAAAGCTTATAGGCATTTTTCACGGAATGCATACAAATGAGCCTTCGGATAGGTGCGAAGCTTAGGGTTCGAGCACTCGTCACTTGGCCACCGGGGCCCCCACTGAGATAACAGGACGTTAGGACGTTAGGTGGAACTGAAGCAAAGAAGTGCTCAAGGGGCCCCCCGAAGTTTCTGAATGTTTATAGGTGGCAAGATTGCTTCAAGTATGTACGGAAAGCTCAAGCTGCCCAGCGCGGGTTTCAAGTTTTTGTTTCCTGGAGGGTGCATCTGCACTGAAAAAGATCTTGCAGCTGTCAAAAACCCCACACTATTCGACCATTCGGCAGTTAAAGAGGTGGGTGCATTCCCGCCTGCTTGAACGCAGCAAGAATGAGCTGCAGCGAATCAGTCCTTTAAATTGGGTGGTGTCATGCATCGCAGCTGCGAGAGGTTACATCGCCGGTTCCGTCCAACCCATCTACTGCAATGCTCGAGCACGTGCTGTCCTCCTGCGTGACGGCGGGAGGTTTCGTGGCAGCACATCAGCTAGTTGGAGGAGATGTGCCCTTGCAGATCAGTTGTCTTTTACACGCCAAGGCTTTGGCGCCTGCCCGAAAATTGTGGTTTCGGACGGCTTCCGGGTTGCGTCCGCCGG